TCTTCCATCAATCATTATTCAAAAATTTATAATTTCCCCAGAATGGGGGCCAAACACATGCTAAGCCCAGAAATTTTAATCTGGATTTTTATCAAAGTCAAAATCAACAATTAATTGTAATAACATATTTTGTGGGTTCCACAACTTTTCAATCTCATATTTCACCAATTTTTATCATCTGCTAATTAATTTCCATCAAGTAGTGTAACAGCTTCTTACAACTGACAATTCACAAATATATCTTTAAAAAAATGGCCAACCCACAACCGACTCGCGTGCTCTTCTCAATATTCACTTGAAACAAATCATTTATATTATTTTGGGTTTTGTTACTTGTACATAAAAAATGTACATAATGAATTACATAATATGAATTGGAGGAAAAAGATTTGATGAAAAAGTTGATTGTGTTTTAAACTGGCAAATGGTAGAGTGTCATGTTGCATTATGTAAATCTTAATGTACATATAGTAAGATCCTATTATTTTCCCTTCTTTTTATTTACGTAGCCATGCTGTAGATTTTGATACATTGATTTACACCTTAGTTTACATTCCTACGTGTTAGCAAATTTGGATACATTGATTTTAAAAATATCTTTTTTAATCAATTGTTAGATTTTTGACAAAAAAAGTGTCAATGAAAGTGTACACATTTGGATGTACAAGTAATCTTATTTTTATAGAAATGTTATATATGAAAAGTTGAATAACAATGAAATCCGAATTATTAGAATTTAGAAGACACTATTTTTTCCTTCTATGGACATTTCTCTTTATTCTTCACTAGCTAAGCTTTAAAAGTTTCTTATAACTAACTATAAACTTTTATAAATAATTTTCTTTGTTTTTTCAAAGTTGAGAATAAATTTCTATTTCAAACTAATAAAGTGTTATTTCTTTTCTCAAAAAAAAAAAAGAGGGGTGGGTGGGTGGTTCATTTCTACTTGTTGGCTCATTTCTCTCTGCACTTCATAAACACGACGTTGGCCGAATAATAACGAACAATTAATTACTGTCTCAAATATGTTCTCCCTAGTTCTGGACGTGATTTGTGTTGTATTGATTTTGGGTCCAACCTGGTCGATTTGGGTAAATTTCAACTCAAAACCATCCTATACATATGGATAGTTTATCAATAAACAATTACACCAAAATGAAAGTAAGTTACAATCTGAATTTTGAATTTACAACAAATAATTCTTCTCGCTTTTCTTTTCATTTAGAATTTGTAGATTTGACAGAAGAAGTGTAGACAATGGTGAAACTATTTGAGAAATAATTATGTTTGTGTTTTTATTACTTCATTTTTAAATTTTTTAAGTTTTAAAATCTGAATTTTAAAATATTAAAAATATATCAGCCAGTTGGATTGATTAATTGAAGGGTTGCAATTCATCCAATATATTAGCGCATGAAAGTAGTTACTTTTCCTTCTCAGAATGTGGGAAGTTTTCAAATAGATTTTTTGTTTGTCTGCTTAACATACAGGATGCACCCATGCATGCATGGCCCGCAGTATCTTTCTGTCAATAGTAATACTTATATAATTCAATGGACTACAAAATACAGGTTGGCTCTGGATCTAGGAAACAGTTATCTATGGCTCAGATTCTCGATAGAGTCCGAGCCATCTCAGGGTATTCAGGTAGGTTGACAATTGTTAACTTTTTTCAAGGAATAATCAGTGAAGGAGGTAATGTGGAGTTCGAAAACCATTGCAATTTTCTGTTAAGAACCTCAACTTTTGGATGTTAGCATCAAATTATGAGTTACGAAGGGATTTAGTTTTTCATGTCCAATATATTATCAATGTGCATGCACATATGCATGCGAAAACAAGAAAACTTTATCTGATCAAATTTCAAATATGTATAGATTTTTAAATGATAGTTATGTAGAATATCTAAAAAATTGTACCTCTAACTCAATTGAAGGTATTTCAAAGTATTGCTTCGTATAGTCAAAGTTGAAAGATGGTATCAATGGTTCCTCAAGTTTACTATGGATCATTGAGAGACAAAATCCCTCGAGGTTTTTATTTCCAATTGTGGAGTGATGAAAGATGAGTGCCTAAGAATAAGGCTATTTACTGAAAGATGTGGAGTGGGTGATGAGATGAGTGCCTAAGAATAAGTCTTAGACAAAGACTTGTAAGGAAGATTGACCTGATACTTATCTTTATTTTTCACCCAAAAAGTATCTAGTTGGAAAGATGGTAAAGTAGTAACAGCCGAGTTTT